CTGTTAATAAGAGCAGCTTGACATAAAACAAAGCTCACAAATACACAAATATCACTTGATATGATGGAAAATGAAAAATACTTGAATATGACAGATGCTGTTCAGAGAGTGCACCAGATAAACTAACTACTAACTGTTCTAGTTGATTTTCAATCTGAAGTCTTAAACTGATCCAGGGACAGAGACAGACAGTTGCAACACAGGAGCAGTTTGATCAGAGTGTGGACAGGTTCAACGTGCACCAACTCTGTCTCCCTTTGTTTTAATGCCACTCACAGACCAGCTCCTGATGGGGCCCCCAGTGAAACTGGGCTGACACAACCCCGCCACTAATCCAGCACCAGAAAGGTAGCTCTTCTGCTGGCGTTTCTCCCAGCTGGAGGTAAATACCTGTTCACACCTCTCAGACAAGCAGCCAAGAGTATTTGATGATTTGATGTCACTTTTAGTGAAGTTAATTGTGTCACTGGAGTCTAAAAAAGGCTAATAAATGAAATGTACTGTAACTACCCAGGGGCCCAGTATTTGTTAGAGCTCTGCACCACTGAAGTAGAATGTGATGCTCCTCCTGCCTCCATCTGCTGGACCTGGCTTTATGGAGGAGCCCTGCCATAATCTCATGTTAAGACCTGATCTGTTTTATTTGCTCACTGGCTGATATATCAAGGTGCTTCCAGTTTGCTGCTTGGCAGGAAATAAACACACAGAAAACTGAGGCATTGCATCACTGTAAGGTTGAAACCAACAATCATTTTCACTGTCAATAGATTTGATGATTATTTTCTTCACCTGCTGATGGTTGTTTCATGTAACATCAGAAAACCATAGGAACAAGGCCTTCATCATTGCCCTGCATCACATTGGCCTGACCAGAAGTCCCAAACCAAAACTTAGGAAAACACGCCGACCTGGTGTGTATTCGCTTTTAAAAGGTTGGTACCAGTGCATTTTGGGTATTTCTGCTTAAAAAAGTCCAGCAGATGAAAGCCACCGAGTGTGCGATACAAAGAGAGCAGGTGGAGTCTGGGCGATGTTTCTCTGGACGCAGTTTGAAATCAGCTGTTTCAGTTTTAATTGGAATGAGCAGCAGAAGCCTTTAAAATAAAGCTGGATCACCAACCAGGCAAAGAGGACAACTACTCTCTGGGGCCTAAAGCCCCCGACGGCCTTACGGGCCCCAGAGGATTCACTCCACAGGACTGGTTTATCCACTGGATTGTGGCCCCAGTGCTGCAGAGGGACAGTGTGCCACTTTGTTTATTTGTTCTAGTTTTAAGGCCTTTATTGTCTTAGTTTTTATTGTGCTCATGTGTATATGTTCCTAAATACAACTGTGTTTATCAGAAGTCACATAGAAACCCTGGGGTTGGTGTATTATTCCAGCACAGAAGAAGTGTGGGGCTGCAACCAACACTTAACTCTATTAATGTGCAGATTCTCAGTCATCCAGGTCATAGTAAGATGAAAAAACTTTTTAAAAAAATCAACTGGACTTAGATTTCTAGGTCGAAGACGTTTCACCTCTCATCCAAGAGGCTTCATCAGTTCTGCCCAACTGAGCTGGAGATATTTATCCCCCTCGGTGGTGTTTCAGTCCTTTGATGGACAATAATGTCCCCTAATGACTGAGTCACTATAGTATCGGTGAGCGTCGTTACCTGTCTTCAGTTAACTCCATTAATAGCAACCAAACCAAACAAAACAAACTCGTGTTCAAATGACCAGTTCTAAAGGAGTACAGTTTACTATGCCACTTTTGTCTTATAAAAGCTCAAGCGATTAATTAAGTATCAAATGTACCAATTATTTTTCTGTCATCTAACCAGTGCCCAGGTGATGTAAAGACATTTCTGTGCATAGTTGGGGTTAAACAAGGCCCAACAGGAAGTTAATGCTCAACCCCTGATTGTACGACTTACAGGTGAGGAACTCTCAGGCCATTTGATTTAGACTCCATAATCCAGAGTCAGCAGAAAATCTGGGGGAGCATCTGCACAGACCTCTCCTTCATTGTTCTCAGCTTCAGGAAAAGTTAAAGAAACATGAAAACCTTGATTTCCAGCAGCAGGAGCAGCTGTACGTCCCTGAGGCCTCGTCCTCTGTTCTCCACCTCCACCCTGCTGCTCATCACACTGCTCCACACTCCAAACACCGCAGAGCTCTTCACATCACATGTCCACCTATTTGTTTCTACCTCATCAATCAGGGAAAGTTCAGACTTGTACCTTCCGGGTCTCTTTGATGGTTCAGATGTTCTCATTTGTTCCTGTGGAAAAACTCCACAGACGCCTCACAGCACGACGACTAGTCTTTCTTTCTGTTCTTACACTTTGTTTATTGTCACTAATTCATTCTATCATATTTTTTACAGGCTCTGTGTTTCCTGGCTTGGACATTAAAGTTCCAGTGTTTCAAATATCAGCTTACTGTGAAGTTTTAGACAAAACTTGGCACCTGGAACCTCCCAGTGAGTCCCAGGACAAGTCTGAGGGGTCGCGTGAGGTTTAAAGGGATCATTTTTCCTTCCTTTTTATTTTGCTTTTGCTGTTGTTGTGACATACATATTTACACTTCTCCAGTCCTGACAAAATCTCTCAAATGAAGCAAAATGAGAAGGAAAACTAGCTTTTTAGCTGAACTGTTCACAGCTCATGTTTTTGTTTAAGGGGCCACCACCCAGAAGGTTGGGAACTACATTTTCTTTTTATGTGCTTTTACAAACATGGTGAATTCTTCTGACAATCCAACTTTACTTCTGCAGGTTTATAGTTTTAAAATCTGTTTGAAGTAGAACTACATATATCAGGAATAAATGGACCAGGGCTCCACGGCAGCAGCACGATGCGGCTCCGAGGAGGTATGTTAGGAACAGACTCCGTAAATTCAAGTGTAATTTGTACACAGAGAGGACAAAATGAGTTTATAATGGAGGCTTTTATTCATGTGTGGAAACTTCAGTGTTGGAAGGAGATTTTCCCTTGTGTCTAATTTTATTTTATTTTTCTGCAGTAAGGATTTACATTTAGAAAACTTGTGTGTATGTGTAATGAGCAGCTGGGGGATTCGATTCTTGAAGAGATAAAGAATAAACAAAGCAGTTTCAGGTCCTTTTATGAGAAAAAAAAACTGTTGATGTAGGACATGACAAACATCCCGACAACCCCATCTCCACTGAATCTATGGGCAACAAACAGCAAACCCAGTGGAGGAAGCTGGATGGAGAGCCGGGGGAAGCGAGGGCTACAGGGGCCTGGGAGACCAGTTAGGGCCACTAACCCACCCATCTCCCCCTTCTCCAATCCATTAAAACCTCCCTCTCTTAGGAGTCCCCACTGGAGTCAGTATCATTTTTCGTCTCCAGCTGCTGATACTGATGCTCCACCACAACCACAACCATAGGCGCCGCTGCTGGCCAGCTGCCTAATGGCCGCCATAAAAGGACACAGAAGAGGATGGAAACAAAACAAGGCAGCAGGGCTCGAGATGTTCCATTGGGTTTCTCAGGGTCCCTCAAGGCCGAGCACAGAGCCTGAGAAAGAAGAGACTGTTTGCAAACCCTGGAACAGTGAGAGGAGAGCTGGCAACTGGCTGTACACTGTAAAAAATACAAATTCTAAGGCTCCATCTTATCAAGTTATTTTAATGTAATATGTTTACACATCTTGTTTTCTTCAAGCAAGTGTAAATGATATCTGGTGCAACAAAAAAAAAAATGTCTGCACTGGGGTTTGGAAAAATGTTGCTTTTTGAAACAAGCTTGACTGAAACAAGTCTCTGCAGAGGAAAATTAATTTTAACGAGTGAGGTGGAGTTTTTTACAGTGCATCTTCAGCCAAGACAATGTCGAACCTGAAATCCAGTGCTACTAAAGATGTTCACACTGGACGTGCACTGTGCACTGAAAGTTGTATGAAATGTGATGCACTGTGATGGAGAGCCAACATACATGTGAAACCCATACAGAGATATGAAACAGGTGAAGTTGTTCCAGGTGTAAACCAGGATCATATATAACAGACATTAGTGTGCATTTAAAGGTTCTACCTGAAAGATGGTGCTGATGACAGAACAGAAGCTGAATAGTTCAATTTGAAATGGTGAAGGATTGAAAAATTATCATTGTCATAAAATATTCTAATGAAAGTATCGGAAGCCTCAGGGCTGAGCAGTGAAATGCCCAGGGCAGGCCCTGGTCTGGCTGCTGATTGGCTGAACAGGTGTCGGCAGCGTCCGGCTCCTCTCAGTCCGATTCATCTGGAGAGATACGTGCATGAGGAGAAGTTTTACAGCTTCATTTGTTGGTGAGGACAAATCGGCTGAGATCTCCCCGGCAAGATTAATGGCACAGCAATCATGGTTCCTGTTGCCGCGGCGACAGGTGTTCCCCGTGGTTACTGTTCATCTAAAAGCTGTATAATCTCGGCGGTGACGAAGCAGGGGAAATCGCACCGCAGAACCAGGACGTGTGACAGCTACATTAAGGAGTGCCAGGTCTGCTTCACCATCACAGGACCCCCACCCCCATCTTCCCCCAGCATGCCTCAGTGAGAGGAGATGCTTATGGAGGCAGCTGATCTCTGCTTCACCCTGCTGTCCTCCATCAGCCAGGCTTCTTTGCATGGATTTCACCTCGGTGAGATTCTCTCTATCCTATAAATATATTTGATACATACAGCTACAGTGTCACACTTAAACATTCTGTACAGTGTAGAGATGCTTGATAAATGTTTTGACCAGGTTTACTGTACTGCTCACACAGGGGCCATCTGCTGCACACTAAGTACTTTTACTTGTGGTACTTTAGGTACATTTTGTTGCCAGTACATGCGTACTTTTACCTAAGCAAACCTATGAATGCAAGGTTTACAGTGGAGTTTACATATCTGGTCCCACAGTCACCACAGACTACAGCCCCGCCCATCACAGCCGGGTTACCTCCACAGGTGAGCCTCGTCACCACATTTAAAGCCCAATGTCCCACCTGTGTGGGCTTTTGCATGCAGAAAACGATCCAGCACACAAAGAGATGGTTTCATGATACAGGTTCCAGCTAAAGCCGAAGATGCCCTGATTCACATTAAAGTAAGTTTGTTTGTCTTGTTCAGCACTTTTCTGCTCAGTGTGAAGACAAACTCTACTAGACTCTGTTCCTCTGCAGAAATAAGAAAGTAGAGGTCAGCAGTTTCATATCTCATCCCGGGTTTGCTCTGAAGCTCTGCAGCAGAAACTGAACCACAGCTGTGAAACACCCACCAGTTTGACTCCAAGCTCAGAGTTTTTCTCTTATTTCCTCTTCTGCATTTCTATCAGCAGCTCAGGTTTCATGGAAAGGGCAATCTGCCGCAATGAGCCGGCATTTTATGACACTAATCAGAGCAAATGTGGTTACAGAGATCCAGTTAGGGAGAAATGATTGCTTTTCACGAAGAAGTCAAACTAAACACGGGTGCTAATGCAGAGCAATCTTAAGAACGACAGTGGAATAAGCACATTTAATTTGCAGCTAAATCAAATAAGTCTTAAATTAGAGAGTTCTCGTTTTATTCTGCCGGCAGAAACCCCCTTGGAGGAAGGCGAGCAGCGTTCAAGAAAACAAGCACCAAGCTGTCTGAACGTCTGACAGCATCACAGCTCACAGCTGCTGTGTTACCTAGAAACAGCACTTACTCCTCCCAAAGTCCCTCCACGCCTTTTCAGGTGAAACTAAATGGCAAACTGGCTCTCAGCTCTGCGAGGTCGGAAAGGAAGGCTGAGGGCCCAATCAGGAGGTCCCTGCGCTGAGCCACAGGAAACCCTTGACCCACCAGATCCTCTTCTGTGTTTTCCAAGATGAGAGGGAGGGAGATACCTCAGCAGGCTAATTAAAGAAGTCCAATTAGAGTGGCATCAGATGGGCCAGGGGCCACCGGAGGATGCCGCTCCCCTAGACATCAAACCATCCTCAGACAGCACTGGGAGAGGAGTCGAGCTGCTGTTACCTTTGTTCTCTCTACGCTTCATCTAATCACAGCACAAACCTCTGTTTTCCGTTTCTCTCCTCCTCCTCATCACTTCAGCTTTACTCCCCAGTCACAGTTTCTAAACAAGTGAAAGTCAGCCAGCCGTGTTCACAAAGTCCACACTTTTCATACAGACACTCTTATAAAACAACCTAGAGCATCACTCCAGTTTATTGAAACTTTTCTATCTGCAGTCATTTAAAACTGCAATCACAAAATGATTAAATGTTGAACTTCTTTAGTGATGTTTAGTTTTTCATGGAAATGAAAAAAATGAAACTTCCACACAAAAAATATTGGCTCAGCTTCATTGACAAGACCAAGTACACAGTCATTTGACCCTGGTGCAGAAGTAATTGTCTGCAGCTGTACACAAAGCCAGTTCCATGAAGAAATGGCTTTCCCAGTGTGGAGGCCTGCACAGAGCCCTGACCGTAACCCTGTGCAGCACATTTTCAGGATGAGCCGCCTGTGAGCCAGGTCTGTTCACCTAAGGACAATTAGGTCAAACTCCACTGATGTTCTTGTGCCTGAACAAGTGAAAATCCCTGCAGCTGGTTCAAGCATCTAGTGGAACAAGAAGACTGGAGGCTGCACACTAGTGTGTCACCACGATACACTGTCTGACAAAACAGCAAAGACTGTGTACATTATATACTTTTATCCTGTAGTGGTAAATGGACTGCGCCATAATCACCCTTGTGTCCAGAGCATTGTAGAGAGTTTACCTCTCTCACTTGAAGGCAGCAAGTTACCATGCTCAAAAACATGAAAACATCTGGACATGAAGCAGCAGCCCTGACTACCTGCCCTACCTACTTCATCCCTATGGAGTTTCCTATGAGATCAGGTCCATGTCGACTTGTGAACTCCAAGCGATGGGTTTTGATGCTGTAAATAGCATGTTTGTTCAGCTGGTCTCTTGAGGTAAACACCATGTTCAGCTCATTAGCGCTGGCCCATCTGAAGGCTCCATTAATAAGCATGGTGCAGATGCTGAACAGACTGAATGTTGTTGAACAGAAAAGTCAGTGAAAACCTCTCGAATCTGTCAGAGCAGCTGCTGCAGCTTTGTGGACCGGGCTTTGATAGTTGAGCTGTTCTCACAGAGGGGATCAAACTCGCCCAACAGACTGGGAGGTTCTTCAGTTGGGAAAACCTTCTCTACTCTTGGCCCTTGAGCAAAATGTTACAGTGATTACATCAAAGGAACAGTTTAACATTTTGGGAAATATGCTGATGTGCTTTCCCTCTGAGTGAGGTGTTCAGTGCAAAGATGGAGTCAGGATGTGGCTAGCCTACCGTTGGCTTAGCATAAAGACTGGAAACGGCTAGCTTGGCTCTGACGGATCATTTTCCCCATCTTAATGCTGAGCTAGCCACATCGCTGTACTTTAAGAATAGCATAAGACAGTTAAATCGAATTAATGAAAATCATCTGAAGCTGCTGTAGGTTTAACATCTGTCATGTCTGAATACAGCAGGAACACGGCCTAAATTTTCAATGGCGATTAGGGGAAAGATAAGCACAATGCAGAGCTTTCCTCTATAGACCAGACTCTTCCATTCTATGTGGTTTAGCTGCTGCATCACAACGGCAGAGGCTTTATAAGATGTGTTTGTGTTGCAGTGTGGAGCCTGGAAAGGAAGCTGGCTCTGGGCCGCCTGCTGCCGCCAGGAGCCTCGCTGCTGCAGGATGGCGACAGATTTGTGATTAAACAGCCACTTTGTCATCTGAGAAGGACATAATGCATCAACACAGGTGAGCGAGAAGCCCGTCGTGGAGTTTATCATCATGACTGCTTCAAAAATTGAAATGGGTTATTTACTGGGTGTCAGTCACACCACTAACACACACGGCTGTGTTTCTCCATCTGACTCAGGCACTGTTATTATTATTTTTTATTTATTATTATTTTTGACAGATCACCCAAGCCGCAAATCTTTAGCTGCAGCCCATTAGTAATCCTCCACCGCCGTCGGGCTGATGTTTATTATTTCCCCGCAGCAGGACGGATAATTTATGAGGGGAAACCTGCTTGTCTACCTGCAGGTTTCAAACAGGATGCAGGTCACAGCCTGTATTAAAGTCATCAAAACCAAATTCACCAAAGTGATTCAGGCAGCAGCAGCATGAACTAAAGGTACTGTGGCATGTCAGAGATTCATGATGGCAATACAAATTCACAAGGAGGGGAAGGAGGGAGGCAACAAAGAAAGAGTGACAGAGGGACAATAAATGAGAAGGAATGAGGAGTTTAAAAAAGGTGAAAGGAAAGAATAAAGCTGGAGTGAGGAAGATGGTGACAGGTATGAAAAGTGGGATGATGTGGAAAAGAAGGCAAGATCAGACCATGAAACATGGGAATGAGGAAAAGGGGGAGGAAGAGGGCTCAGTAGGAAGAATAAAGATGGGAAACATTTGAAATATTAATGTAAAGAGACGGGAAATGAGGGAAGGATGTCAGAATGGGGGTGCAGCTTTAACATTGTCTGCTTTGCTCAGGAACTTTTAGTATTTTTCACCTACACCCAGTAGTGATTAAACGATGATGACGTCCTGCCGGTCTCTGAACTGGCTGCTCCTCCTAACAGACCTCCTCTTCACGTGTTTCACTGTGAATCTCAGAGGGTTTTCTGTGTGAAAAGCCCATGTCCTTCTGCTGCACTTTACCAGCTCACTGTGAAATTCTACTTCTATGTGAAAATAGAGGGAGTCGGTGTTTTGTTAACAGATTGACACATGCTAACAGTAGCATGTTGACCTATTTGGGAACCAAATATGATTCCCAAAACAAAACTCTGGCCGCCAGAAGAGCTCATCAAATGTGTTTTTATCAGCTGCAGGTCAGTACTGCTATTCTCTGTTTACATTTTGACAAATCCCCATTAACAGTAGCTGATGTAGCCATAAGCTGCTCCTCTATGCAGGGTACCATGGATGCAGCATCAGCTTTCACTGGATTAGTATGAAACTGAAGAAAACCTAAAAACATGAGGACTGTCAGGCAGATTCCCTGTTTTTCTCTGATCTCCAAGTGATTTTGGGAGGTTTATTTTGGATGGAATTCACAGTGAATCAAATATAACTGAGAAGTTTTGATTCAAATTTACCTCATGCAGCATCTTTGCCTCATATCCCTCAGCAGGTTTTAATATGGCTTTGTTGGTGTTTTCTTATTAAGACTTCTGGTGGACAGTGACTTTGTTCAAACCGCCCCTTAACAAGCAGCAGTCAGAGGGAGGATGGAATGGAAACGGGTCAAGTCCTTGCTGAACTTCGACAAAGCCTCACTGTGTATGAGGATTGTTTTAAGATCCCTACGTGACTGTCACTTATTGTCCAACACCAGTGTATAGAAAACGGATTAGTAAAGCACAACAGATGATGAATAGCATTTGATTTTGGGAATGTCTGTTAAGGTTCGTGCAGTACAAGCAGGATGCTTACTGTTAAATTTAACCCTTTGCACTGTGAATTGATAGCATCTTGTTTTCAGTGTTTTCTATAGATTCTGCAGAGCGAGTGGAGGTTTACAGTATCTGAGTTGGACTTCTGGTTTGACTGATACTGCTGTGGAAGGTTACAGATAGTGAGTGGAGGGGAAGTTGGACAGATGCAAATGAGCTCTCAGTTTAAATGGAACTGTTTTTTTATTCATGAAGGATTGATCGAGTCGTGGTGTGGAGGAGATGAATGAAATATGCATGGAGCGGTCGTACTGTACTGGCCCGCCAGACCTATGATTAATTTCAGCTCAGTTCTGTGTGCGCTTGTGGATGAGCTGCAGGGCGGCTCATGACCATTGGAGATGGATCCGATGCTTTTGATTGCACAGTGTCAAACCACAAACTGGTACTGAGTCCACGCCTGTCTTCTGATGGAAGCAAAGTTTAAGGCTTTTTAACTTGGTCGGTAGTTTTACATGGTTACACACATAGACACGTCTTTGGCAACATTAGAAAACCAACTGTTGTTCATTATAAAAAATAAATGACTACTAGTGAATGAGTTCAGGCAGTGTGGAGCTCCTGCCCCTGCTGCCCCAGTCCTGCTTTCACATACACATCTGTGCTCGCTATGTCTTGACAAAGGGTTTCTTAGTGGAATGGAGGGTGACGTGCTGTACACTGACCACCTATAAACAGCACACTATACTTAGGATTTCAGAAATATTGATTCCAAATGCCCCCAGCAGTACCCCATCCATCTAGGAAGTGTCTAACAACCCTGAACTGCATTTGTAAAATTTTATAGTTAAAACATCAAAATAATTTATAAAATTGGGTTATTTATATTTTTCCTGTTCAATTTTTACATCTCTAGTTTGACTAAATTAACCTAAAATCAGCTTTTCCTGAGCTGTCAACCACTTTAATGTCAAGAATTAACCATCACGCTCGGCTTTATCTCCCTACGCTTCCACTGTCACTTTAGTTCATTGTCAGGTCTGAAGCCTGGACTTTGTCGCTCCTGTAACTCGGAATGATGTGGTCCTGCTGTTTATTTCTATGTTCTGAGACAAATGTGCTCCACTACTCCATCCATCCATCCATTTTCCTCCACTTATCCGGGACTGGGTCATGGGGGCAGCAGTCTAAGCAAAGATGCCCACACTTCCCTCTCTCCAGACATATCCTCCAGCTCCTCCATCCTCCGGCGGGGGCCTCCTCCCGGTGGGACATGCCCGGAACACCTCCCTAGGAAGGCGTCCAGGAGGCATCCGAAACAGATGCCCGAGCCACCTCAGCTGGCTCCTCTTGATGTGGAGGAGCAGCGGTTCTACTCTGAGCTCCTCCCAGGTGACCGAGCTCCTCACCCTATCTCTGAGGGTGCGCCCGGCCGCCCTGCAGAGAAAGCTCATTTCGGCCGCCTGTATCCGGGATCTTGCCCTTTGGGTCATGACCCAAAGTTCATGACAACAGCACTTCCTGAAAAAAAGTGAAACCTTTGTGATTCTAATGACAATAAAATGATGATTTTGTGAGCACAGAAAAAAAAGAAGTGGGAGTGTGAGTACAATATTTTTGTCATTGCAACTTGGGTTTTATCCATGAAATTCAGCGGTGCTCACTTTAAAGGTCATTTTTCTACTTAGAGTTGTAATTTCTGCAGTTTAAAAGCACTCAGAGATGAATCCTCTGTCCCGTGTTGCTAGAGACACCTGATTCACTCATGGACTGGCCATAGTCGAGACAAACTTGTTGACGCTAGAGGAAAAGTCATTATTAAAACCAACTCTGACCCTGTAGATTGAGGGTCACTGCTGAGTCTTTATCAAATAAAGTTTGTGTTCTTTGGTCTTAAGTTTGTCTTTGTAGAACCACAAAATTAGCTAATAGTGGTAATTAGTGGAGGAGCCTCACAAAGGCATGCCACTGCCCAAACCCACAGACACTGACAATGAGGGTGGACTACTGGGGACCCTGGGAGCCTGGGGCCTAGAGGCCTTCAGTTTGAGAGATGTATAAATGTAAACCAGTGTGGTACAGTGGCTGTCCTCAAAGTCAAAGTGTTTGTTGTCATATGCACAGTATGGAAACACGTTTCCCTGCACAATGAAATTCTTACTTTGTCGTCCACACTGAAAGCCAAACAATACAAGTGAAATACAAAGTAGAATGGCATAAAGATCTAAAGGCACTTCAACCAGTGAGTGAAAAGAAATATAAGTATATAAAAAATATGAGAGCACAACCAGAGAACGTATTCTGATTCGGTGCAGTAGCTACAATAGTCAGCAGTAACGAGAACACAGATAATTTATGTTAAATCAAAGCTGTATGTGCAATAAACAGCAGTTGGTGTGCAGTTATGTATGTGCAGTTATGCATTCGCAACTGAACATGTGAATAATACAGGTGCAATTACATGAAGTGATCCCTGGTAATAAACTCCTCAGCTGTTTAGGAGTCTGATGGCAGAGGGAAAAAGAGTTTTTCAGTCTAGTGGTCCTACATTTCACACTTCTGAACCTCTGACCAGAGGGTAGGGAGGTGAACAGTCCATGCTGGGTGGGATCTTTGAGGATGGAGGCAGCTTTCCTATGCACCCTGTGGTAGTAAATGCTCTGCAGAGAGGGCAGTGGAGTCCTGGTGATCTTCTCCACAGTCTTTACCACTCTCTGCAGGTGCTTGCGGTCCATAGCAGTAGTGTTGCCATACCAGACAGTGATGCA